TGCGCGCGCCGCGCGCGGCGGTTGGCGCGTCCCGCGCGCGCTGCTCCGGCCCCGCCCCCACCTCCCTCAGGCCCGGCCCCGGCCCCGTCCCTTATCCCGGACCCTTATCCCTGTCCAGGGACCCTATCCCTGTGCCAGTCTTGTCCCCGGCCCCGGGCCCAATCCCATCCCTGTCTCCGTCTCCTTCCTCATCCCCTTCGCCATCTCTTTCCCTCTCCCCGTGCACATCCCTGTTCCCATTCCTGTTCCTTTCCCTGTCTCTATCCCCATCCTGGTCCCTATCCCCGTCTCTATCCCCATCCCTGTCTCTATCCCTATCCCGTCTCTATCCCCATCCTGCTCCCTATCCCCCTCCCAGTCCCGTCGCTGGCCCTGGTCCCATCCCAATCCCGTCCGTATCCCCATCCCTGTCTCCATCCCTGTCCCCGTCTCCTTCCCCATCCCCGTTCCTCTCCCCATCCAGGGGCTCCCCTGGCGCTGTCCCTGCCGTGTCCCCGCCGGCTCCAGGCTCCCGTGCCGGGCTGCTTTGAGTTTGTTGGAATTTGTTCCAATTTTTCTCGGCGCCTCCCCGAGCGTTCCCCGTGCGCGCCGATGATTTATGGAGAAACGTCGGGTCCCAGCGTCCATAAAGCGCTGGGAATTGCACGGGAGGGAGGGAGGGCGGCGTTTGGGAGCTTGGGAATGGTTAACTGAGATCCAAGCCGTGGAGAGCTTTCTGCTGTGAAAAGAGGGCTGCGTGTACTGGTGGTGGCTGCAGCACTTGATGGATGCAGAATTTAAGGGAGAAAGACACTAAGACGGGAAAGTCGCGTTTCCCCTCTCTACTGCAGATTTGGAACACTTTGGGTTAATACCTACCCCTTACACATTTGCTTGAAAAATGAATGTTAGTCAGAATTAATTATTTTAAATGTACATCTTGTCTTTTTGGGGAACACTGATACCCAACATGCACTTATGCCAGGGTACAACAAACCACCCTAACAGCTGGGTGATGTTAAGGGACATGGATTGGCTTCTCCCTGATCTCACCCACCCACTCCCAGATGTTCATCTAACTGGTGAGAGGGCAGGGAACTAAAGCAAAAGAAAGCCATTTGTACACAAAAGTGATTCACTTCTGGACGAGCAGACAGGCTTTCAGGAGATACCTGCATTTTTAGGGATAGTCTAATTATACCCTTCATCTTCTGGATTATGGGGTTTTACAGGACAGGAGCTGGTAGCCTGTTAAACAGCAGGAATAACAGCTTTCAGTGAATAGGGACATGATGGAAGGATAGTTATTTCCTGAGGAAACACGGGGGTTTGTGCTTTCCCAGTGATGGCTGTGGTGATACAACTCTGCACGCTCATTCTCTGTGTCCAGCCCGTCTTTACTCACTACAGCAGATTCCCACCTCATCACAGCCCTCGAGGATGGGATTGGTGGGATTTGGAGAGCCTGCAAAAAAGCAGGACTCTGTGGAAATCCAGCGTTTGTGATCAGGGATCCTGCTCAAAGCTCCCCAAGCGTGCAGAGGGACAGCCCTGCCTGGTGTGCAGCACCAGACTCCTCTTTGTCCTGTGTTTGTGACAGACACGATTGTTTGTGAAGCACATGAGGATTGCAGTAGCCATGATCCTGCAGGACCAGCCCTTGGAGCTGTGCCATCATCCTCACATTCATTTCTTCTGGAACCATGCCATGGTCCAAAATGTGGGCTTTTTACTGAGCCTGAAGACTGAGAGGACTGAGATAAGAATTACCTTCCAGTGATACGTGGATTTGGAAAAATAGCTGAAGTTTCTGGTAGTGATGCTTTCAATTTCCATCTCCTTACAGTTCTTATTCCTTGCCTGTCATATTTTGGCACTGGGCTTTTTACTCTGGTGAAGCCTAACTTGTATTTGCAGGATATATATCCTTATCCCTCCACATGCTCAGAGTGATGAGCATTTTTCTCATTTGTGGGAGTTTCTGGTTTTGTTCCCTCCATTTCTTTTGACAAGGTATTTCCCATTACTCTCTTTTTCTTATCCCACTCTCCTTTTGGAGCTGTCTATTTATCTGGTTTCTGTTACCTTGCCCCTGGCTCACTCTGTGCTTGTTTAGGGGAGTTCACTACTGCAGGGTTTCTGTTCTTTGCTCTTTATTTGCTTTATTGCCTCAAATTGCAGTGGAGCTGTCTCACCTTAGGATGCTTGTCAGCAGCAGCACAGAACTCATCCATCCCGGGCATGGGTTTATTTCGAAGAAAAACCTTTAACTTCCTTTTCTTCCACTGTTCCTTTGGAGGGAATTGCCTAATAATCCTTCCTCCAGCAGGATCCTGTAAGTGCTTCATTTCGTCTTGGCTGGGACACTGGGAACACAGGGAAACACAGAGCTTTCAGGGAAGTTTGTTGTTTTTCCATGCTCTAGGGCTGGGTGACACTGCTGATGGCCTTTGGCAGCACTCTGGGACGCTGCTACTCAAGAGGCAGGAGCTTAGGCAGAGGTGAGAGGCTCTGGACTGTGGAAAGGCTGCATTTCTGCTGCCCAGGTGAAATCTAAACACTTCTGGAGTGCTTTGAGCAGAGGGACAACACACCTGTGGCTGTGAGTGTCCAATCCAGGCATTGTGCATTATCTGAACTCCTGTTGTTTATACATTTAGGGCTGAACAGCTCCACATATCCCTTTGCTAAATCCTCTCCCCTGTAACAATCCAGGCGTGATGCTCAGGTTGTGTTTTCCCAGGGCAGCATTCCACAGCATCACTGCATTAGGAATTGGGGTTGTGCCTGTGCACTCCCTGCTCCTGCTGCATCCTCCTCAGGTCTGCAGTGTTTGCACATTGAGCTCCTGAGGATTCAGAGAGCTGTGGGACAAGTGACATGCCCTGTGTGCCCAGACCTTCCCCCTGCCTCCCTCTGCCAGGTACTCCCTCAAATCCAACACAGCCTTGGGATCAGCTCAGATGATAAATGACATTAATGTTACTGTAAACGAGATAACGTGCTCAGAGCATGCAACACATCAAATGTGGTTCTGAAAGACAAGAGACAAGGGGGGAAACAGCAAGCAGGGCTGGAGTGAGCGTCTGTGGGGAGATGAGGATGCTGAGGGAGGCTGCACAAACAGTGCATGGCTTTCTTTTGTTGCCTGGATCTACTTTCTGTGATGGAGAAAGAACCACAATAGATTTCATGCAGTAAAGGTAACTCAAGAGCCAAGTATTTTTACACTAATCCAGTAGGTGCAAACCCACATCCAGCTACTCTAGAAATGCAGAACAGCTCTGACTTGTACCTTCAATTCCTGCAGCAGCAATTACCAGCACAATTACCTGCTCTGTCCTTCAGCAAAGCAGAACCTTCCCAAGGAGTGTTTTGAAGTGTGTCCAGTGTTTGCACTGGGCGTGCTTCCACAGGCACAGCACAGCCCTTGCTGCCCACAGAGGTTACAAAGTACATTCAGTTCAGCCTTGCACTCGTTTCTGCTCCCTCCTGCCTTTTCACAGTGATTGTATTTTGCAATATTCAGATAGAAACGTTGGTAGAAGCAAATGAAGGGATTAATCCAGTTCAGGGGGCTGCTGACACCACGGGTTGGTGCCCTACAGGTCCTGCTGTGCAGCTGGCAGGGACACACATTCCACAGGGTTTGTTCTGAAGGAATGGGTTTGATGTGTGAGCACAGGTCACCTCCTGCCCATTCGCTTCAGCAGGAACAGGTCTGACTGCAACCACCAGAAAACAAATGAGTACCAAGAAAGTGACTTTCAAAACCACATTTAAATGAAGTCCTGAAGTGAAGAGTAAAGAGCAGTGTCTGCAGAACATTCTTTTTTGCATAAATGCATTATGTGGGTACAAGGGTAGCATTAAATTATCCGGAATGGCATTTTCCTCTGGAAATTACCCTTAATAAGTGTTCAATATGGGTGAAAGTTCACAGAAACTTTAGAAGTAAACTGGTTATTTCTAACGCTGCCTGGAGAGCTCAGTGGGAGCAGTTACAGGGCCTGCTGTGAGACAGGATTAAGCACGTGTGGTTTCACTTCTAGCTGGACCAAAACTGAAAAACTCCAACTTACCCTCCAAAAATGGCAAGAAGTGTTCCCCATGTGCAGTCTTGGAACTGCTTCAGTCAGATTCCTCCTGTCTGCCATGAGACAAGAGCTCAGGCCTTGGAAATCAAGGCTTGCTCTTTCTGTTTTACTCCAACATTCCTAGCACAACAGTATCCCTTAATAACACATGAATAGGCCTCAGATACACAAAACTGGAATTCACTTCCTAGAAAACAGCAAATACTCTCTGATCTCAGACCTTTTACCTAAAGGATTCCAGAAGTAAAACAGGAAAATGTTTTTCATCAATGTCAGCAAAGAGTGATGTTTTCCTCAGCTCAGAGCATCTCTATGTACTGAAAAATACTGAGAGGGCTGAAGTCTACTAAGAAACATTTTCTTACGCCTAAGCAGTTAAAAATATCCAGAGCAGGTAAAAGCCCTTCAAAGACAAGCCCTTCAGAATAATTATCTTTCACAGACATCTCTTGCTGTGCAAGGAAATGCACAGGAAAGCAAAGGCATCAATCACGTGTTATTACAGTCCTGCTGGTTAAAACA